ATATCAGCCCTCAGGAAGCAGAGGCAGGTAAATCTCTGTGAGTTCAAGGCCAACCTGATTAACTTAGGGAATTGGAACCCTGTCTCAAAAGAGAGAGACAGAAGAAAAAAGGAAAGGAAAAGAAGGAAGGAAGGAAGGAAGGAAGGAAGGAAGGAAGGAAGGAAGGAAGAGGAAAGGAAATTAGTGAGCTTCTGTCTTAAATAACAAAATGAAGTCTGAACTAGGTGTCAGGCATAGTCATCAGGGCCTTAGATGATGGACTAGATCTTCCTTCTACTGTTAGCTCTGCTTACCTTGAACAGTCTCCTCTGTGCTGCTAAGGGTACAGCTTATATAACCTTATGCTGAGCACACAGTCTGTATTACTGCCCCTGCTTTCCTAATGCATCTCTTCATGTACAGCCCACTTGTGATCAGGTTCTTGGCTGAGGGCTTTTTTCAAGGGGACCCAAATTCACTTCTGACATACCCAATGGGAAAACCTGAGTCAGGACCAGAGCTTTGGGTTTTAGTTGCCTCATGTGGGTTTTACAAATATTGAAAAACTCTAAGGCACTGCCCCTCCCAGGAGCTGCAGGTCTGTTGGGAAAACCCTTAATAATTCCTCCATAATTATGCTGGCTAATTTTATGTCAACTTGACACAAATGACTGTCATCTGAGAGTAGGGAGCCTCAGTTGAGAAAATGTTTCCATAAGTTCAGGCTGTAGGCAAGCCTATCCCTATTTTTAGTTAGTGATTAATGGGGGATGGCCCAGCCCGTTGTGGTTGATGCCATGCCTAGGCTGGTGGTCCTGGGTTCTGTAAGAAATCAGGCTGAGCAAGCCATGGGGAGCAAGCCAGTAAGCAGCACCTGTCCATGACCTCTGCATCAGCTCCTGCCTCCAGCTTCCTGCCCTGTGTGAGTTCCTGTCCTGACTTCCTTCAGTGATGAACAGTGATGTGGACACAAGCCAAATAAATCCTTTCTTCCCCAAGTTGCTCCGGTCATAGTGTTTCATTACAGCAAGGATTACCCTAAGACAATAGACTCTGGAGTGCTTTGCCAGCCACACCTTCATTTGTTTCTTAGAACACTATGAGATTTGCAGGACCGAGATTCCTGTTTGGCAGGTAATGATCCTAAAGCCTAAAGCCCAGAGCCAAACGTATCCTCGGCTGGCTACTCCGTCCACTCTGCCTAAGCCTCCACTGTCTACGCGGCTTCTAGACTAGGAAGAACTTGGAGATTCTGCACTTCTGTGTTCAGATGGTGCTCTAGTAAAGACAGCCACATTTTTGCTAGCCTTCTAAATATCTCGATGACTCTTGAGGTGGGTGATTTGAAGCACCTAATAAAACAAACAGTGCACTTAAGATTCAGGGGCTCCAACATCAGTACCCTCAGACTGGAGGACACCCCTTCCTCCTACCTCCAGCCCTCCCCCTCCCACCCCACTCTGTCCCATCCCCAGCTAGGGCACAGTTCTCATCAGTTTGGAGGCTTGAGAAGCCAGGCAATTAATTCTGCCCACACCAGACGGTACTGTCCCCAGGAATGGGAATTTTAATTAGGGCGATATTGGAAGGAAAGGGAAAATAGATGGGAATGGGGCTTAGAGAGATAGAGGAGGACATCTGATTTAGTGCAGGAGACCTTCCTGGGAGGAAGCATGTCCAAGCAAAGAAAATAGCACAGCCAGAGGTTCAAGGATGGAGAACACATGGCTACATTTGAAAGTGAGGTTGTTGTAGTCTATTTTCTGGGGAGATTCAGCCCTCCTCCCCACGCCTTAGCTCTTACTCCCCTCTACTGCGTCTCATTACCCTAGACCCAGGGCCGGAAGTGAACAGGAGAGGAGCCACTCTTCCTCGCTGCTGTCATTGCCTGTGCTAGGTCCTTCTCTCTGTCCCTCCATGTGCCAACATTCTCTGCCCAGCACAGGCCTCGTTGCTCTGGAGTTTGCATCTGGGCTGAGCCAACAGGAGGCAAAGGTAGAGGACCAATGGTAGGAGGAGCAAGAGAAACTTATTCCAGCATGATTGGTTGTAGTCTGTAGCAAATGCCATGGCTCCAGTCTGGATGCCCTCCCCACCTCCACCTCTCATTCTCCTGCTGGTTTCCTTTCCTGCCTCTGCTAACAGGTGTTCTATCTTGCTCTGGGTTGGTTTGCTAAGACTTTGTCATACTTTCTTCAAACTGCCCAGTGTCAAGGTGCCGCCTGCTTTCTGCTGGGACCCTGTGTGACACATGACCCGAATTCATAGTAGGAGAATGGACAGAGCCCCATGGAATGCTGAGCAAATGACAAGAGCTGTTGGCATTCAGATCATTAACCGTTCACCCCTTCCCAGCCCAAAACATCAGGACCCAGTATACCTGAGATATCTCATACACAATTTTAAATGCCCAATGGTTGAATTATTCACCCTGTTTTGAGAAGGGGAAATTGGGTCTCAGAAGGTTCTGCCTGTAGTTGGTTGGAATCATTGATTGAAAATACTTAGAGGAAAGAGGAAGGGGGGATTGTCCTGATTTGTTTTGAATATTTTTTTTTGAGGCACAATCTCGAGTACTGCAGTCTGACATCAAATTTGCTGTTAGGCAAGGATGACACTGACCTTCTGGTCCTGCACTAGCTTCCCAGTGCTGGGATTGTAGGTATGCATTGCTGTGTCCAGTTATGTGCTGCTGAGGCTCAAATCCAGAGCTTTGTGCACACTATATAAGCACTCTACCAACTGAGTGATGTCTCAAGTTTGTCCCAGTAATACACAAACTTTTTGGTCATTTTCCCTTAAATAATATAGTACAAAAACTCTTTACACAATGTTTGTATTGTATTATGTATTGTAAATTACCTAAAGATGATTTAAACTGTGTAGGAAAATGTGCACAGACTATACACAAATGCCACACCATTTTCATACAAAAGGCTTGAGAATTCTTAGTTTGCAGTGTTCGGAGTTCCTGGGGCCAGTCCTCCACAGACACAGGGTTAATTCAAGTCTGGATTGATGAGGAATGGGTATCAATAACTTGATGCAATCGCCAAAGCTCCTCCAACTCACTATTTCCCCTGGCCAAGCTCCAGGCGTCTCAGCTGTTGATAGACCCCATCCATGCTCCTCCTCCCCAGCTTTCCCTCCCACGTACTAGCCACGCTGGGAAAACGGGGAAAAATACACATCTGGATTCTGCCCTCCGAGCTTACAGTCTAATGGGGGAGGCAACCCAAATGAGCACACAGATAGACTGAAAGCTGCACTGAGATCCACAAAGAGGCCCGGATGGATAACGGTGTCTTTACTGAGAGACAGAGCCAGGGTTCCAGTCTCAGCATGTCACTTGGAGATGAGTGGGTTGTTAGACTTGGGAATCTAATGCTCAGAGGAGTTAGCCTAAAGGTTGAAAAGCTCCCTGCTGTCCTGCCAGGCTTTCTTAGGTTCCATCTTGGACAGTTTTCCCTGAGAACACACTGCCAAGTGATTTCCATGCATTCAATCATTCACTTATTTTGTTCAACAAATGCATCTTACAGTCTGCTCTGTGCTAGATTTGGTTGTGGGAATGGCTTGGTACACTCAAGTACTTCTTCTGTGTCAGGCTTGGAGTTAAAGTAGACAAATAAATCAAACCCAGAACGGAAAGCACTGTGTTAAAAGGGAAGTACTGTGCCATCACCAAAATGGGCCTCGGAAGCAGTCCTATGTAATCCCAGTAATGGAGAAGGCTCTGTTCAGAGATGGTCAAGGGAATAAGCAACCATGGTGGGGTGGGAGGGGGGAGGGGTGGTGGTGTTAAAGTATCCGGGGACTTAAAACACTTGGGCTCATTGCCACCCTTAGGCCTCATGGGAGAGGGTGTCAGTGGGGAGATGGAGCCTCAGCTGAGGATATAGTCAAAACACTAGCAACAGGCTAGAAAACTAAAGCAAGAGAGCCAGTGAGACGGCTCAGCAAGTAAGGTCACTCACACCAGCTCTGAGGACCCGAGTTCAAGGCCAGGAACCCACGTGATAGAAAGTGCTATTGACAAGCAAAACAGAAGGGCCTTAGGGAGTAAGAGAACAAATTTGGAAATAGAGTGGTTAAGAAAGGACTCCACACAAAGGGGGCATTGAAGCTAAGACTTGAAGGTGGTGTATCTCTAGGCAAGTTTTTCCTCCCAGCCTCCGTCTCCTCTCCTCTCCTTCACGCTCCCCATCCTAACGTGAAGACTCTGTGGATGAGGGCTTTCCTCTCACCACATGTGTGCCTAGCACCCTCAAGGCTAGTCTTAAGCATCAGTGGGAGACTGGGAATCTTGTTTTTCTTTTCTTTTTTCTTTTTCTTTTCTCTTTGTTTGTTTGTGTGTTTTTTGAGATAGGGTTTCTCCATGTAGCCCTAGCTGTTCTGAAACTCACTCTGTAGACCTAGCTGGCCTCACAGTCACAGAGATCTGCCTGCCTCTGCCAGCTCAGCACTGGGATTAGAGGCATTCCCTGTTACCCTCGGGCTGGACTCTTATTTTTTTAAAATGCTGATTTCTGGGCCCCACTCCAGATCTTCTGGATCAGAACCTCCCAGGAGGAGCCCATGGTCCTTGGTGTGTAGACTAGAATCAGCGCACACCGAGGCGATCAGAATGACTGTCTGCTCTGAGAGGCAGCTTCCAGCTTAGGGAGGACTGGCTGGATAGAAACGTGTTGCGTAGAAACAACCCAACAATGATGTGTTTTGAAGGAGATTAGCAATTATGCACAAAATGCCTTCCATGCGGCACATCTTGTTTTTCCCTAAGCACTTATTAGATAATCATATCCTAAAGTTCTGTGATTGAAATTACCCACCTTGGAAATACTGCAGTAGATCTTTGCCAGGGTGTGAGGGAGCGCATCAGAATGTGTTGATTGTGTGACCTCCGATAGTGAAGACAGCTTGGATAAGTGGTTGTTGCTACAGAGTCCCTGAGAGTCTGGTCCCTGTTTCTGTCATCAACAGGAAAATGACACGTGTCAGCTTCTCTTCTATGAGGCCTGTAATATCATCAGCAACAATTTGAATGTGGACCCAGTGGCTAGAAAACAAGTGTTCTGGGACAGACACCAGTTAAGAAGTGGCGTGTGAGGGACTACCGAGGGAGGAGGCGCCTGCTGGAGTACAGTGGATTCTAAGCCTGAGCTCTGCCACTGACTTGCTTGCTGAGTGTAGATAAGTCATCTCCCCAATTTGGGCGTCTGCAAACTGAAAACAGGGTTTGTGTTAGAATCAGATGTTTTCTTTGGCTATTCCGGTTTTGGTACTTTGGATTCTGAAAACACTTCTGACCCTACCATAAGCCAGTGAAGAACACATGCAGGCATGGTGGTACCCAGAGAGGAAACCAAGGCCCAAGAGAGGAGCTGGCCAGTGCCACACAGCTACACAGGTGCCACGCCCGACTCCACCGAAGCCTAGCGCTTGGTCTGGGTTTGTGGAGATCAGCTTTTCGCTAGGTTAGCTGAGACATAGAGATACAAACGAGAAAAATTCTGTCTGGGATTCAGGAAGCAGGTGGTTCCCCACAACCGGGTGAGGCCAAGGAGCTGGGCGGAGGCGCCCCAAGCCAGCCAGCGTTGAAGCTGGTGTGCTAAAGCAGGGCGGGGCCAGAGGAGGGACACCCTGGGAAGGAAAAGGGAGCCAAGAGCCAGTAGGAGCGCAGAGCTGTCAGGGTACGAACGCTGCTGGACATCATTGCAGCTCTCACCGAAGTCAGATCACAGAGGCAGGTAAGGCGCCACAGGGCTGGAAAAGCTATCCATAGTCTGGGCAAGACGTGCAGGGGATTCGGTGTTTTCCTTGAGAGGAAGGACCCGATGTGGGGTGCTACTAGAGTGGATCTTCCCCGGGGAGAAAAGCAGGTATTCCCAGGAAACACAGGGAGTAGGGATTTTCGCTTCGCCTGTGGTCCGAAGGCGCTCTCCCAGGCTTCCCTCCAGGCAGCAAAACCTCCTTCTCTCCTACAAATAAGAGAACACTTACAGGTTTGCACGGGACTTGCACGGAAGTAACTTTCCAGGAGTCAGTCTCGCTCGACCAAAGCCGTGGCTCTGCAGAACTGCATGCCCATTCTACTTCACTGCGACCAGATCCGCGGAAATCCCCAGACTGGCTGAAGCATCTGCTGCCGCTAGTAGCAGGTCCAGGTTGGAAGTCAGGAGTCTTGAGTTCTAGTTTTCAGGTAGTGTAAACTGGAGCAGGTCGACCATGGCTCTGTGCCTTGTGCTTTCTTTTGTCACCACCTGTAAAATGGGTCTCCTGCTCCAGTTGTCCCCATGTAATCCACATTAGGGCAAAGGAGAATGTTTGGGAGGTGTCTCAGCCAGTGTGTTAGAGCCCGGGAAGCAAAGTCCTCATCTCTGCCTCTTGCCCCTTATTAATTTGCATGGGAGGAAACTGAGGCCCCAGGATAATCTTAGCACCAGGGGCCATGTTGAATTAGAACCAGTGTTTCCTTACTCCTAGCCCAGGACTCTATTTCATGTACAGATATTGGATAAACTCATCCTCTCTGGCACTCAGCCACTTTGTCAATTCCAAACGGAGGGGGTGCTATGCTGGAGGCATTAAAAACTGCCTTTAAAGTCTGGTGACTCTCGAAGATGAAAACCCAACTAGCAACTTTCTTCAGTTCAAACTCCTCAGGGCATGTTTAATTCTCACGGGACAGAAGACACTTGTAAATGGCACGGACTGCAGGATTCATCAAAAAGTGTGGGACACAATGAAGGAGACAAGCCCCTGTGTCTGTGGGTGGTGGGAGGGCATGGCCGGGGGCAGGCACATGGGATGGCTGCTTTTAGTAAGAAGAGGTGAACTGAACCATGGATGGCTAGGGGAACAGTGTGAGCGGGCTTCCCAGTACCGTTCTCAGGCCTGTTCTTTCTAAAACACGTTCCCTCCTATTGTCTCTTCTAGTTCTCACGAGGTGAGCTGGGCACTGGTAATTACGTCTTACAGATATGGTTCAGAGGAAATAAACGAAGTATTCAAGGTCACATAGCCAGACACACAGCCAGGATTGGGATCATGAAAGGCACTCTTGAAAGGCGAGATCACAGGCTGAGACTTGGGTTGTCTGTGTGCCGTTTGTGGGTGTGGATGGCCACACCTTCAGTAAGGTACACAGGGAAGAGCGTTGCAAAACCATTTACCGGTGTTTGGGGGCCAAGAATGTTTGCCCTTTGGATAAACGGACTCAGATTAGATGTGGGAAGTGTCTGGGTTTCCAAAGGAGGCTCAGAATTTCCTTCTCCTGATCCATGCCACCTGCTCAAGGGGCCTCCTCCCCTTGATCTAAGGCAGCCTGTCTTGGTCTAACTTGGAGTCTTTCCTACTTTGGTTTTTCTTTTAGAACACTGAAAGCTGTTTCCATGAATCTGTTGAGGGATGAGTTGGGGAGGGTAGTGTTTTATAGGAGAGGGATCGAGTCACATGTTCTCTTTGGTGATCACTATGTAAACAGGCCTGAAGAATAAAGAAATGCATGAGGCCCAGGCCCCTGCCCTGAAACCTCCAAGCATATGTGCAAGGACATACTGGGCCCACAGCTATACTCACACACAGATTCCAAATGGCGCAGTTCTCTAATAAGGCTGCTTTGAAGGCACTGTGGTAACAAACAAGAGGAGAAACTAGCTACTGAGTAGGGGAGGGGTGTCTCTGGAAAGGCTCTAAACAGGTGGCACAGAGCGGGCTCTTGAAGAATGCATTTGCCTAGTAGATGGAAATTCCTGCTTAAGAAAAGAGGAGCCGTGGGAGCACAAGGGCTGTCCGATGAGCTCTGAGGAGCTCATGGCCTGGAGCTCATTGTCATGGTCACAGATATTGGGAGAGCCACAGGGAGATGAGCCAAGGCAGGGTCACATCTAGAGGAGTTGACAATCCTTAGTTTCTCTTTTTGTTTGTTTGTTCCCAGTTTGCTCAGTAGCTGTTAACCTTCTTTCTAAGCTAGCCCATTGTCTATTTCTCTCAAAGGCCTCTCGACAGCAGGGTTCTGCCTCTTCCATCCTGGAAACCTGATAATCAATGACTTTCCAGGAGCTGGAAACCCAGGGACTCAAGGAAGAGAAGCAAAACACCCAGTGTTTCTGTCTGTGCCCTTGTAACCAAGAGGCAGGTCACAGGCAATCAGTCTGTCCCTTCTTCAGCTCTCTGCCTCTCTTTACCCCAGCAGGATGCACCTGCCATCTTGTCCCCACCCAAACCCAGCACCTCAGGGTGTGCACTGTGACCTCTGTGGTCTGAGAGGTCCAGACAGGAAGGTCTGATGGGTGATAGTTTGTTTGACTTCACTCATGAGTTCCATCCTGTCCTCCACTTGCCTTGTACCCCAACTTCCTGCACAGTCCATCTCTTCCCCCCCCCCACAACCCAGCCAGACCACCCTTGCAGATAAGAGGCTAGGAGGAAAAAGGAGCAAGTGGATCAATTTGGCCCTCACCTTACCTAGGCTAAAAAGTCAAGTGTAAGTCAATCCCCAGACTCAGAAATATCTTAGCCTGCTGGGAAGACTCTGTAACCTCTCTGTCTTGGGTTGAAGTTCTCTAGGCTACCTAAGGGCTGCCTCCACCAGCCAACCCAGTCTCCCAGGATTTCACAACATGGTTCTGTGATTCATAATGTCACAGGATATTTGAGCTGACCACAATCCCTTCATTTCATTTTACAGATGCAGATAGAAGCTGAGATTAAAAAAAAAAAAAAGAAAAGGAATCACATGCCCAGGGTCACACAAGTAGCAGCGGGACCAAGACAGCTGCCTGGGCTTCCATTTCCTTTACTGTAAGACTGTAAAATGAGGACATTTAGCCTTGATGGACTCTGAAGGCCTGTCCAGCTCCTGTGCTACACAAATGACCACTTCTCTCTGTGGAATTTACAGCCAAACCTTACATACTGCTCTTTAGTCCTCACAACAAAGTCATGCTACAGAGAGTTAATTCTAGCACACATTCATTTTAATTATTTTATTACGTTTATTGGTGTGTGTGTGCATGTGGAGGTCAGAGGACAGTTTTCAGGAGTTGGCTCTCTCTTTCTGTCATGTAGACTGCAGAATCAAACTCAGGCCATCCAGTTCAGCAGCAAGTACCTTTACTTAGAGAGCCATCTCGACAGCTCTCTGGGACACATCCATATGCTGTATGTCCAAACAGATTTGATTAGTAATACCTCATTTCTGTGAAACTGCAAGCTGCCATTTTACCTTGGGATTCTAAAAGGCTCCTACTGAGGTACCAGCACCCTGTAGGAAGAAGAGAAGGGTTTTAGGCCATTCCATTATCAGTTCCATTGTCAGTTGATTAAGATGTTGTGAGCCTGGAATGGGGAGACAGCAATCAGATGTTGCTTGGCCACTGCATAGTTCTGTAACTACAACTCTAGGCTGGCTTGAGCCAGCTGTTGCAGGAAGGGAAGAGGAATAGGGGTGGTGTCAGAACCCACAAAAAGATGCTTGCACAACCCTTAGGAAACTGGGTGATCCACCCTTGGTTCTGAGGTTTGTGTCCCTGGTTCCTTTTTCTTCCTCCTCTTCTGCCTCCTCCCCAGTTGCCAGCTCTGGGCCTTTCCTCTCAATACCAAGTCTCTGGCTGCATCCAGATGCACCCTGCAAGGAATTGAAGGGCCTTGGGATATCCAGGAAGAGATCCTCAAAGATGTCTCAGAGTCTTTGAACTGTTTGGTGAGTTCTCCAGATCTGTGTTATCCTTCCTGTGTTGTGCCAAGTAAAAACCCTTTCCAAGGAAAACTCTACGTCTTAGAACAGTTCAAGGTCCAGTTCAAATAAGGCCATTCCAGGGAACAGTCTCTAAACCTTGGTCAGTGTTAATCACTTTAAGCGGCTCCTGGATTGTTGCTTGCATCATACCAGGATGGCAGTGAGCCACTGAGTGTGAGGACTGGGTTTGAGCCTCCTCAAGGCGTCAGCACAGACCCTGATCCAGATAAATAATGACCAGCTAAGTGAGTCATTCAGTCATCATTTTCACTGTGGTGTTCCCGCTTGCCACTGGCCCATGTAAAGGAAAACTCAAACTTCTTGCTTCTTACATTTTAATTCAGGAAGTCTGTGTTCTTTTCCCTCCTTGATCCAGACAAGGTACAAGTACTGAATGGTAGAGGACCTCAAAGGTCTTTCATGGAATGTAGGCCAGTCTTAGGTGCCAGTGGGGTGCTGCTCTATTATTCTGTCCCCCAAATTCTGCTTCAAGTCATTATAAGTATTTATCACCATTAGAACTATGGGGGAAAGACCTGATAGATAATGGTCATGTTTGGTATATATAGGTATTAACAGTGATTGTTGACAGTTCTACCTAGGTAAATGAGAGCTTTGGAATCAGACATTGAATTATGGTTGCTTAGCCTATTAAGGTCTCCTGAAAATAGACAAACAGCATCTACTACTCCCTAATCAAGAACAAGCTACTTATTTGTTTGGGGTCTCAGTTTCCCTGAGTATAAAATGGAAGGAGTTAGATTAAATAACTCCTAAAGTTCTTGAAGCCTAAAGTTTAGTGAATTTATACAATCCAAGAAAAAAAGAGAGTAACATGGCTTTCAATGACCAGGAAAGACTATTCCACATGCACTGCGGGATACTTCCGTAATTGCTCAGATACAGCAGAGAGGAAATCCCACTTAGCACTTCCCATGACTGAGCCTGAGGCCTCTTGGAGAAGATGGACCAGAAGAATGGAGAAGAGATGATAGTATCAGGGCTCTAGCCTAGGTATGCAAAGTGGGGAAGCTGTTAATGGCTGTGGGTAACAGAGCCGCCCTTTCTCTTTCTTTTCTCACCATCAGATCACATTCCAGCTCTTCCCATACCTCAATTTCTGTTGCTATGGAGACTTCCAATGGGACTGAGACCTGGTACAAGAGCCTCCATGCTGTGCTGAAGGCTCTGAACACAACCCTTCACAGTCACTTGCTCTGCCGGCCTGGGCCAGGACCAGGGCCAGGATCAGGGTCAGGACCAGGGCCAGACAATCAAACTGAGGATCGTCGGGCTAGCCTTCCTGGTAGTAATGACAACTCCTACATGTATATTCTCTTTGTCATGTTCCTATTTGCTGTCACTGTGGGCAGTCTCATCCTGGGATATACCCGTTCACGAAAAGTGGACAAACGTAGTGATCCCTATCATGTGTATATCAAGAATCGAGTGTCTATGATCTGACGTGAGGTGCCTGAGGACAATGAGAGATTATGATGCCTGAGGATTGTCTTCTTAGCCTCTGGAACTCTTCTCGACTCTATCAAGCCACGATGTCTCTAGCTATGTCAGATCAACAAGAAATTGGTGAGAGAGTTAGGTCATCACCGGGACCAGGGAAGAGAGGCTGATTGGCCCGGTCTCGTGGATGAGACATTTTTCCAGACATAGATGCACATTATAAACTTGGAGCCCATGAACACATATATAGAAGTATGGACAACCAGCAAGTAGAAGAGGAAGCTGTGGTGAAGGGAAGTGGGGCAGGAAGATGCTCTGGATATATAACCATTTATATATGATCTTCAATTGAGAAACCTTGATAAAACTGAGAATGCTACTTATTTGTATTGATTCATATTTTATTCTTTAAATACTCTTAACATTTGTGGGTTTTGCCTCATCTGCCAAAAAAACAGAACAAGTCCCGTGACTGGAATCCAGGAACTCTGGTCCTTTCTCCTAGGACTTTTCAATCCCACGTCGGGTAAGATTCAGCCAAGCACAATAATGCATGCCTATCATCACAGTGCTCAAGAGGCTGAGTGGGGAGGGTCATTTGAGTTCAGGAGTTCAAGACCAGCTTAGGCAAGCCCTATCTTGGTAGGGACTTGGTGGGGGGCTGTTGAGAAAGATCTTACTTTTACAAATATTACCAAAGACATGTCACTGTGTTAATGCATTGCTTGGGCACTTCCTGGATCTTAAGACAGACTGCAAAGCACAGAGTTATGAGCTCTTTAATGATATGGTCATATGCTTCTCAAGCCTCGTCCCTGTGCCTTCCCAGTCACGGCCCCAATCCCAGGGACTTCACTACCTCGGGTGTAGCTTCTACTCTGAATTCTGTGAGAAATGTTTTAATAACAACACGAAACTTGCTTCTATGAGATTGTTGATACACCTAGAAGATGGCCGGGTTTAAAGATACAGTGTAACAGCTTTGGCTCAATGGGAGAACCAGTTGGCCTCTTACTTTTAAAGTGGTATACACTTTAGCTGGTTATGCTGGTTAGCAGTTTTTTGTTTGTTTTGACTTTGGTTTTGTCAATTTGACACAATCTAGAGTCATCTGAGGAGAGGGAACCTCAGCTGAGGAAATGCCCCCATCATTCTGGCCTGTAGGTAAGCCTGAAGGATATTTTCTTGATTGATGATTAAATGTGGAAGGGCCCAGCCCACTGTGAGTACCTTGGGTAGTAGACTGGGGTATATAGGAAAGCAAGCTGAACAAGTCAGGAGGAGAAAGCCAGTATGTCGACTAGTGAGATGGCGCAGCGGTTAAGAGCACAGACTGCCCTTCATGAGTTCAAATCCCAGCAACCACATGGTGGCTTATAACCATCTGTAATGAGATCTGATGCCCTCATATGGTGTCTGAAGACAGTGACAGTCTACTTACATATAATAAATACATACATGTAAGATGAAATAGCCCTCCCCTCCCTCCAAGTTTCTTTTGATCATGATGCTTAGCATATAGCACTAAAAACCCCTAACCAAAACAGGCAGATACGTCTCTTTTTGGCCTTTTCTTTTTTTCTTTTTAGTATAATGAAATATTTAGACTTGAAAATTTAAATGTCTTACCAATTCTGGTCTTAAACGTCCATATACACTGATTAGGCTGAAGCATGTAAAATTGCTATTTGTAGATCAAAAGTAGGTGAATACCAGGTTGTTTTACATGGTTCTACCTAATTCATACAGTGTGCTGAGTGAATTCATTACCAGCTATTTGTTCCAGGGCCCAGCCTTGGAACCACTCGCTGCTGTGTCTGATTTCCATCTGAGGGATCTCTGCGTGCTTCCCAGAAGGCCTCACTGAAACATGCACATTTGTATTCAGTAGCCTTTCAAAGGGTTTTTGACAGCAGTTATCTCAGTGGCCTAGGATTATAGGTGGTCTTCCCTTTCCGCTTCAGTGGGGTGTGTCACACTCGACTTATATGACCCAATATATGATAGCTGCATTATAAAGAGCAGGAAAACTGCTTCTCCCCTGAAACAGTAAAATCAAGTGCTTCTCAGTTACAGCACGGGCTGCTCCTGCAGAGGACCCAGATTTGGCTCCCAGCTCTCATGTAATGGCCCACAACCACCTAACTTCTGTTATAAGAGATCCAATGTCCTCTTCTGGTCTCTGAGGGCACCAGGCATTCATATGGCACACAGACATACATGCAGGCAAATGTCCACACACAGAAAACAGAAATAAATCTTTAAAAAAACGATAAAATAAGTGGTTCTGTATTTCTTGAAAGCTCAAAAGAGCACATCTTGCCATGAGTAGTCATGTTGGATCTCTGTACAAGTATTCTGGGACCATGTTCTGAGCTCTTCTTTATCTCTTCTTGAGAGGGAAGAAGTGACTTCCTTAAGGACATAGGACAAGGCAAGACCACAGCCTCTGAAGTCTACAGCCAGCAGGATTTTAGAGGCTATCCACTCTAAACATCCGAGTGAAAAGTGCACTGCCATTGAGTACAGCAATGAGTGGTCAGGTGAAGAAAACTGTAAGTGTCTTTGAGAAATGAGATTAACTTGATCAGCCCCAGTCAGAGAACTGAGCTTTGAAATGTAGAAGAAGCCAGCAGACTGAACGGAGAAGGTAAGACAAGGAGAGCTTGGAGCAGAGGCATTCAGACGCACTGTTCTTGGAACCTGGGGAGAAGGAACAAAACTGGCACAGTGTGGTTGCTCTCTGACTCCAGTGTCCAGGTTTGCAGAGGAGGCTCAGCACACACACGCAGCAGGAGACTGGGATAATTCTGGTTCCTTCACTTGCAAGTTACAGAAACCCGACGTATATTAACACAAGCACAGGGGAGATTATGAATACAGAATAGCTCATGGCTCAAACAGGCCCTGCAGGGATGAGGCAACTCGAGGGATATCAGGACCAGGAACTGTGTCTGAATTCACAAACTAGGAATGCTGTATGTCTCGCTACTGAGGGTCAGATTAAACAAAATTCTAGAATTCTAAGGGGTAGATTTAACATTCTATATCCTTTGATGAAGACATTTCTCTCAGCCCTCTGTCAAACTGACCCCAGACCAACTGTGAGGGAACTGTCCCGTGATAGTGATGTGTGAATCAGAACATCAGATCTTTGTCTGTATTCATTCTGCCCCCTGCTGGCCAAATCTTAGAACATCATCTTGACACTCAAAGCAAAATTTGAGACTCATTTATGGACTAGATATATTTATTGCGTGCATACTTTACAGTAAGCATTGCCAAAGCATGACGTGATACATAAGTAAGTAAGCAATCCCTGAGGGCATCTGCTGCACAGCAGATGCCAGCCTATGAAATTACATGTCTTTAATTCAGGTGTTAATATCTCACAATAGTATAACATAGCAGGCATTTCCTATAATTGTTTCAAAAAAATATTTCACTTATGTTTGACTAAGTGTTTTCAGAACAAACCATTCAATCATGCCTGTGGTGTGTACAGGCCAGGTCTGAAATTCCCCACAACTAATTGAGAAAGTCATTTTGGGAGCAAAGGGTTGAGGCCAGTGATGCTAGAAGGAGGACCCAAGACAGATGTTTCCTGGTGAGGGATGCCTGGCAGGACAAACATGCAAGGGACAGAAAGAACCTAACAAGGTTCATCTCAGGGTGTTTCTAGCCTTGGTCTGATGCACAGGGAACTGTCATACGTGGCTGGGACATAAAATATCTGCAAAATATCATACATTCTTTTGAGGTAAGGGACACTTTTGTACTCCTAAACTCGTCAGTTCATCATTGTAAGTCACATGGCTCAGATGGGAAGACTAGAGGAGGAGGTGAGGGGTTCTGGTCAGCAGAGGACAGTTCTGTGGAGAGGGCCAGCAGCCATGAGCTGCTACAGGAGAGCACAGTGAAAAACAAGCTCACCGGGATGTGCTCTTGGTTGAATTAGCAACAGGGTAGTTCCTAGGAAAGGGTCTGAGGTTTGCCACCAAGTTAATTCTACCTTCCACGGCTCTCCTTTTCCACCATGTCGGGCCTGCTGGTGATTAGAGGGACACTCCCTCTAACACCCAGGCATGCTCACATTTGCTTGAGGGCCAGTCTTTGGGGAAGAGGCAGCGCTAAGCTGATGATAGAATTACTCTCTGAAGAGGAAGAGTTTTCGCAGGACTTCATCAGCATCCATCACAGCTGTGCTAGCTGAGAAACAGGAGCAGAATGTTCCATCTTAAGGAAGCCTTCAAGTTTAAGAGTCAAGATGGAAACTGGGTGGGATGGTACATGCTTACAATCCTAGCACTTGGGAGGTAAGGGAGGAGGATTAGGAGTTCAAGACCATCCACAGCTACTTAGGAAGTTCAAAGCCAGCCTTGGTTATAGGAACAGGGATGAGGGGGAAGGACACATGAAATTAAAAAAAGAGCAAAATAGCACTAAATAGAAGTAAGTAATAAACCGAAAGGTTAGGTACCAGAAAGTGGGAGGGACAGATACTAATATGAAGGCCAAAAGAGGAAAAGAAGCCAGGCAGTGGTGGCACATGCCTTTATTCCCAGCACTAGGAAGATAGAGAGGAAGGTGGATTTCTGTGAGTTCGAGGCTAGCCTGATCCACAGAGTGAGTTCCAGGACAGCCAGGGCTACACAGAGAAACCCTGTCTTAAAAAACAAACAAGAGGGCTGGAGAGATGGCTCAGTGGTTAAGAGCACTGACTGCACTTCCAGAGGTCCTGAGTTCAAATCCCAGCAACCACATGGTGGCTCACAACCATCTGTAATGAGATCTGATGCCCTCTTCTGGTGTGTCTGAAGACAGCTACAGTGTATTCATATATAATAAATAAATCTTTAAAAAAAAAAAAAAAGCCGGGCGGTGGTGGCGCACGCCTTTAATCTCAGCACTTGGGAGGCAGAGACAGGCGGATTTCTGAGTTCGAGGCCAGCCTGGTCTACAGAGTGAGTTCCAGAACAGCCAGAACTACACAGAGAAACCCTGTCTCAAAAAGAAAAAAAAAAAAAACAAACAAGATACAAAAAAAAAGGGAAAAGGCTGCTGGTGGATACCTCAGTCAGTGAAGCGCTTGCCTTTGAAAGAGGCTGGGCGTGGCAGCATGTCTTCACTGGGGAAGTAGAGACAAGTAGATCCCGGGGATTCATTGGCCATCTAGTCTAGCCTCCTTGGAAACCACCAGACCAATAAGAGATTTTATCTCATAAAACAAGACGGCTGAGATACAGCAGCCAGAGTTATCCTCTGGCCCTCACCTGCTCATACACAAACATGTACATGCACATACCAAAAAAGGAGGAAGAGGAAGTACTTGTGGATATTTCTTTAAGTGGATTAGTTAAAGAACGAATTAGTAAGACTTGAT